CCCCCAAAAACATCATTCCAAAAATGGTATGTTTGGGTTGGGGGGGGGGGGGGGGGGGGGGGGGCTGAGTGCTTGAATCTTCAACACCACCACCACAACAAAGACTCCGTAACCCCACCTCACCTTTGTAGAAACACAAGCGCAACATGGGGGCATTTTACAAGAGCAATTAGCAGGAAAACTCAGATTGTTTTGCTGCAGAAGGCTGGATTGTGCAGGGAGTCGGTCTATTTAGCTGCTTGACTGGATTGTTCCTGTTGGTTTTGACAGATCAGAAGGAGAAAAAAAAAAAGAAAGAAAACTATATTCAACAGCATGAAAAACCAGAGGCTTAGCATTGAGTAAATCAGCCCTTTGTCTTGTTCAATTCCAATCAAAGGATAACCGGGAATGTTTGTTTGACAACAGCATTTACAATGCATTGTTCTGAAGCCCAGAGCCTCCCAAACAAAGACAGATAGGCTTTAAACAAGTCATTTAATTAGCGCCGAATCCCCGGCTTTGGCTGCGGCAACCAATTATACATTCCTGAGGCATGTGCAGGTCCTATTTCACAGGAGCAAGAGGCAGATCCTCTCCAGCCCTGTCTCTTACAGTACATCTCTCCCCTTCCATTTAAGAGAAGGTAAATAGCCCAGACAGACAGCTTCATTAGCCAGCGTCTGAAGAGCGCGGGGCCGATTGTCGCTTAAATAGTGCGCTTTTACTGCAGGCCCAGCCAGTGACCTCTGATCAATTACAGCTGACATTATTGTTTGTCGGGAGCATTTTTTTTTTTTTTTTTTTTTTTCCTGGACAAAAAAAAAAAGAAAAGAAAAGAAAAACAAGATCAGGCCACAGCTTTAGGTGGAAATGTAATCTTCCCTTTCTCTCTCTTTGCTTCTTTCTCTCCACAAACAATAAATCATTCAGTTGAAGAGATAATAAAGTGCCAAGTAGGAGCTAGTTTAATTTTTGTCAGGGGAAATCTGTCCACAGCAGAGTTAAGGTTCGGGGTGGGGGGGTGGAGTGTGGAGGGGAGGGTGCTTGTTTCTCATACCATTTTCAATGACAAAGGCTTAGCTCTTCTTCCTCTTATTTCCCTTCTGTAGGTTTTTATAGCCGGAAAGGTTGAGGTCTTGTTCTCATAAAGAGATTAACCACAGCAAAAGTCAAGTCAAGTGTTGTTTTCAAAATAAATTCTACTCTTTCTTTAATCTTTTTAAAAAAAAAAAAAAACCCACATTGAACCTTATTTCTTTTTCTGATCCGATTCCGTTAAGCAACTAGAAGTGCCGAAAAAGCCCCGATGTAACAGCTTTGTAATCATGCTGTTACCGAGGGCTGTTTTAATTCATCCAATTCATCCTCCGCGATTCGGATCTCTGCTCATCCGAGCGTGAACTCGCAAAAGCACGGCACAACATAATAGCTGAGCTGTTTATATTGGTATTAAGCGATTTGTAGTTTTAATGATGGTAAATAGGAGTTCACCTTTGCGGTCTCCCTCAGGCTTACTTCAGGTAAATTACTCCAAATGTATTGTTTATGCCCTCCAGGAGAGACGGTGGGCTGAGTGCGAAGGAGGGTGCGCGCGGGGGGGATTGTTGTAGGAATTCACCTCGTCGGGTCTAAACTTTCTGTACGTGTGAGATCAGCGCAGCTAAAATAAACCTGGTAAAGATGCCTCAATAGCTCTGAAATAAACATATGTTTTTTTGCCATAGCATAATCGCACACCAAAGAGTTTGGGAAATACAGACTTCAATGTCTGTAGATTGTCCTCTCGTATGCTTTTCTCTTCAGCTCACCCAACAGGTTTTCATTAGGATTTAGTTATGGTCACTGCGGCTGACTTTGTGTCTGTTGAATCGTTTCTGTCTTGATTTGTCCAGATGTTTTTCCATCAGCATCATGCCATAAGACCTGGTAAACGACCCATTTTCAGTTTCCAGTAGGAGGACGTCAAGTTTCTCTAGGAAGCATCCTGGTGTTTCAATTTTCAGGGTTCTATGCAACATGTCCGGGTTCCCAGAGCCGTCGGACGAGAAGCAGACCCGCAGCATTACAGATCCACTACCGAACTGAAAAGGATGCTTTTCCACGTACTCGTCCGTTTGTTTCGTGCCAAGCCCAGTTCGAGCGTTTACCAAATAGTTCTACAGTACTGTCATCTGAGTTGGGCAAAATCTGTTTACATTTTTCGTGGTAACACAGAAAATAATATTTCCTGGTGATAGTTGGCTTGGAGACCCCAACATGCCTTTTTTTACTCCACTTTACTAACAGTGGGGTTTTGGATGCCTTTACGTCTTCCTCTCTATATAAGGTTGTGTAATTAATTTGGGTTTATGTCCAACTTAGTAGTAGTTAGAAAACTAAAAAATGGCTTTCATAGCATTTTTAGTCCCCAACAAAACAATTGTGTTTTTCTTTGACGTCTCTAGATCAGTCTGATTAGCTTAGATCAAGGATACATAATGCAAAAATAATTTCAAAAAATTAGTCAGTTATTTATTTTCTATTTTTTTAACTGTATAGGTAGGCGTGACGGTAATTCCACCACCGGGCAATTATTTCTTAACATCGGAGCTTTTTCTCCCTGAATGAAAGAACTTTTATGCCCCCTTTGTCATCGGTACCAATAATATCCACTGCATGGCATCACCGCTTCAAACTAATGTTTATCGGTTTCTTTGAATAGGAAAAAAAAAAGGACAAAGAAAAACATGTTGTTTATTAATCCAGAGTTAAGTAATGTTTGGAGCTTACATCACAAACTAGAAGGAAATTACACGTGAATGACACTTAACTGCGTGGCGAAAACCGGCCCATTTCCTGAATAACCTCCTCCTCACCTGGCTCCTTTCAGCCGCAAACAAAGGGATTTGGTGGAGCCTTGTTAGGTCTGTGGCACATTCCCTCGCTGCGGCCTGAATAGGTCTTTATGGGAGAAACACCACTTTGGGACGAGGTGACAAGAAAGGGGCCGGGCCGACGCTGAAAGCGAGACTAATACCCCTCCTTCGGCGCGAACACAAGTCCAGTGTTTTCTCCTGAAAGGCCGTCAGTCAGGTGGGGACGTGAGATTTCGTACGCCCGTCAAGTGCAAGGAATAACACGGAGATAAGTCCAGGAATGTTACTGCAGAAACACAGAACGTGTGATTTTTAGGTGGCTTTTCCACTTTTTTCTTTTTTTTTTCCAATATGGCGAAAATCTTTCCCAATGCGCGTCACTGTGCCTGATTGAATGGGTGTAATACATCCGCCTCAAAGGCAGAATAAGTCTCTTCTCTCCGGCCTTTGAGTGGCCTTGAAAGCCTGATAGGTAGCCGAGACCTTACCATGTTGTCCCGCAGTAAGTACCCCTGCAATCAGGGCCCTCTGTGGTGTTTTTTAATTGAGCTTAGCCTGCTGAGTGGTAATTGATTCAGTCTGAGCTTCGGCAGAGGCGCCGCTACAAGGTGCAGCTTGGCTTCCGCCTTTCTTTAATCTCCCCCTTTTGCTTTATATTGTCTGGAAATACTCACCACTGAGAAACTGCGTGCTATCTTTCTTATGGAAATCAATGCTTCTTTTGGAAGGAGGTAGAATGACAGAGAGGAGTACTTCTCAGGTCCTTTCATTTTTCAAACCAGTGTCCTTCTCTTTAGAGGCTTCGCCATACAGATCTCCTTGCCCTTTGGCTACTGATGTTTGGTACAAAAAAAAAAGAGAAAAGAACCGGAGTTGTTTTGTGGATGGCGCCATCGTCTTTTTTTTTTTTTTTCCTTTCTTTGTTTCTTTCATGCAGATTTGCTTTACTTTCTGTCTTTCTTGTTGGTTTGTCTTTCTTTTCTTTTACCTTGAACCAGGCTGCCAAAGAAAGAGAGAAAAAAGGAATGGGAAAAAAAAAATCTACGGAGAGGCTCAATCAGATCCAATAGTGTCTATGAGGTTGTTTCTATTTTTTTTTTTTTTCTTTCAAGCAGTTTTGAGGAGAAGCATCTGAGTGGCGAAGGAACGAGACCAAAATGTTTTCCAGTCACTTTTGATCCCGCTCAGTTCAAAGTCCCAGAGGAGAGCCGAGGAGGGGAAGCAGAGAGGGAGAGAGAGAAAGAGAGAGAGAGGGAGGTGGGGGCGGGGGGTGCGCTGGTTGAGCGGGGAGGCACAGACACCTAGCTTTGACCTTCTGTCTGCGCTCGCGTTCTTTGAAAGTCGTCTTGTTTTCATTAAGCCGCTCACAAGCACAAGTACAGGGCCACTGTTTGACTAGCTCCTTACCCCCCGTATGGTATCTTTAATAGACATTTTTTTACATTCTCGCGCGCCTAATGTCTTCGGTTTTTCCCAATTAGGGCGACAAATGCCAGGCGGCAGATGAATAATTTAAAACATTTGTAAGATATCTTGCGCGTTCTAATGGATTCATTTGTGCACGTATGAAAGAAAATGGAAATCCTTTCATTGTACAGTCTCACACCCTGTTTTTTTTTTTTTTTTTTTTTTGTTTTTTTTTTTTTTTTTTGGTTGGGGGATAATTGGCCCAAAGTCATTGCCACACTGTAGTCTAACAGTACTTGTTTGTCATTTGCACATTTAACTAGTCATTTGGGTAATGACTTCAGAGATTGCCCTTGTTTTTAAAGGGATTTCTTTTTCTTTTTTCCCATGTAAATATTGGGCCGATTTCCATAATGTGCCCCCTTTTTTTTTATTCATTGTAGAATAACTAATATATCTTTACTGCTAATAACAGTTTATGAAGTCTCACCCCCATTATCTTTATTATTATTGAAGCAGCAGCTATTAATAACATATAGTAAAATATTTATATGTTTTATGTTAACATGATTTCCAAGAAGTACTGCAATTAGCTGAACTTATTCCACCCTTTCTTTTTCTATTGGACGGCCTTGTTAGGCCTTGATGTTATTGGCTGAGGGTTTAAACAAACGGGCCCACACCCTCACAGAACCTCCGCCTTACTCAACAGTAGACATATGTTCTTTTCAGCACTTTTCGATTAGACGGTAATGTTTAGACTGAGAGTCATTGGTTCTCAAGCGCTTTTGAAGAAAACGAAGCCCACGTCATGACAGATCCTCTACCATTCTTAACTTTTCCACATTTTTTCCTGATTAACAGTAGTGCTAGGCTGTTGAGTTTATGTCCAATTGCTATTTAAAATGGACCGTAACGACATGCACTCCAATGTGGTCCTCGGGAGTAAATCAGGCCCACAGCATTACAGATCCTCTGCCGTACTTAACAGTTGACACCAGCCTCTTTTTCTTGTATTTCCTAACAGATGGTCACGTTAAGCTTTACTGTTACTGGACACTTCTTATAAAGAGCGTCTCAGAGCTGACAGCTTAATTATTACCAGCAAGGGTGGAGTTTTTCCTGCCAGAGCACCACAAGATCCCCCTCCACCTCCCCACCTGTGACTGCTATCTCACTTATGATATGCATCATTGAGTAACCAACAGCGTCCTCTTCATGTGTCTCAGGCCTGGAACTCCCCTTCATGATGATGCCACACCCCCTGATCCCGGTCAGTCTGCCCCCAGCCTCTGTCACCATGGCGATGAGCCAGATGAACCACCTCAGCACCATTGCAAACATGGCTGCTGCTGCCCAGGGCCAGAGTCTGCCTTCTAGAATGGTCACCTCTGTTATAAAGGTAAATTTTTAAGATAATGACACCCTTTTATTTTTTTTATTTTTTTTTTTTTGGTGGGGGCGGGGTTTGTTTGTTTATGACTCTGGAAAGTTTGAACCTTTTACTCTCGTGGTGTAATTCTGTATCGGCGTCAGATGTTTATTTTGGTTGTGTGTGTTTTGTGGCTGCTGGGGTTGCAGGAACGTGTGCCGGACAGTCCCTCCCCTGCGCCCTCCTTAGAAGACAACAGGAGGCCCGGCAGCCACCCTTCATCCCACCGCAGCAGCAGCGTGTCCAGCTCCCCAGCCCACACAGAAAGCTCCTCGGACAGGATACGTAAGTTTGCTTTTTGCGCAACAAACGACATAACCAAATGTATTATTGTTTTTTTTTTTTTTTTAAGAATCTAGAGTAGAGGAAAGTCTATAGGTGTTCCTAGTAATTTCTTGGCGATCCTTCTGCAGCAGCACACCACAACGGGCTGTCGATGAACCAAGCCCTTCTCGGCCTGTCCCCCAACATTGCCCCTGGGCCTAAAGAGGGAGACCTGGCCCACGACATGAGCCATGAAGTGAAAAGGATGCACACTGACAAAGGTGAGTGGAACTTTGTGAGAAATGCCATCTACTTTAGTGGTTCCCAAATGTCAGATTGTGTGATCTGAAGAAGGGATGTCGAGCTCATTCTCATTTCGGGCCGAATCAAGATCATGAAAGCTCTCAGTGGGCCGGTTGTGCCAGAATGTGTTGATAAAAACCATAAATAAACTGTTAAAATAGATACAGCATTTGATGAGTGCTTCTTAATATTAAACAGTACTGAACATATTTTCACACTGAGCAGTCCCTTCCAGATTTAACAATTGCTCTCATGATTTTTTTTTGCAATCAAAATCACAGATTTTTCAATGCTAAATAGGAAATATTCACATCACGTTGACATCGTTTTTTCACTTTTACTACACTGTAGTAAAAGTAAACACTGCCAAATGCAGACGTGTGCGAGTTAGCACTCACTTAAACCCTTTTGACCGTTTTTGTGGGAAAATTATGCAGTAGCGTGAAAAAAAAATAAAAATCTGTTGATTTTGCACGAATTTCCACAATCGCAGAATATCAAAAAGCTGACATAACTTGGTGTTGGAGTCTCAAGGGCCACATAAAGAGCTACGGCGGGGTGGATGTGGCCCCCATGGCCTTCAGTTTGATCTACATTAAGAAGTAATTGTATCTCTAGATGTTCCAGAGTTCTTAATACTCCCTTCTTTTCAGAACACCCCATTGGTTTTCCACAGGATTAGATGTGGGAGCTGAAATGGACAAAGTTGATTTTGTGTTCAGTGAACCACTTGATTTAATCGTGCGGTATGTTCAGTGCCATTATTTTCACTGGAAGCTCCCAAAACAATCCGTTTTCCGTTTCTTTTTTTGTGTTTTTGGCAGAGGCCTCTATCTCCCGGTATTTCAAAGACGTCAAGATGCCATGTCCTCTTAACAGGTTTTGCAGGGAGGAGAAGCAGGCCCACAGCATCACAGGTCCTCCACACACGGCGCGCTTTACCACATATCCGTTCTTCGTTTCACGCCAAAAGCCTCGGGGTATTTGTTGCCGAAAGCTCAGTTTTTACTGACAAAAATAGCTGCCTTTAATTTACACATGACAGCTCCGCCATGTGTGCATAATATAAGACATAAGGTTCTGCTTTCAAAATCCCAGCCTGGACCCCCCTTAAAGGAAAACGCTGTTGGTTCTCTTCCTCTCCCGGTCCAAACATGAAAAGAGACATGGATACAAATCCCCATTGTTACAGTTAACTCAGATCATTTTGTGAAAGTGGTATGGTGATGAAAATGTCTCTATTGTGACTCTTTTTAAGTCCTATTAGGGCTAACCGGTCAACTTTGGCTGTTAGATACTAGAGGACCAAATGCTGATGGAAAGATTGTAGTAGTTATTAAACCTCTCTACAGAAAACAAACAAGTAGAACATTGGTGTTGAAAAAGAGACTATGTTGCCATGGTCTGAACATTGATAAAAGTGTTTTGGTCTGTGGCTGAGTGTGTTCTGCTGATTGTTTCCCAAACACAATGGTAGAAACATAAAACCCCAATAAACAAGTCATTGGTGTTTGTTTTTTTGCTAAACAACTTGCCTCAATGTTATAAACAGAAAAATGAAACTAATGTCTATCACCTGAATGTCGAGGGCAAAATTGTTTGTGATTTCTCTTTTTGTCAACAATTTTTTTTAGCATTAGGCTATTGTTTTCTTTTATTAGTAATAATACTACTACTAATAAAACAGGACTATAAAGGATCACATGAACAAATAATTAACAACGCCAGCCTCTCTAACAAGGTTCCCAGGGCATTTGAAAGAGAAAAAGGCCCACAGCCTAATAGATCATCCACCGTACCTAACAGTGGCTCTGAGGTTGCTGTCAACACAGCAACCTTTGTTTGTCTCATAGCAGATCCCTCTGGTATGTATGTGTGTGTGTGTGTGTGTGTGTGTGTGTGTGTGTGTGTGTTGCTAAAATGCTCACTCTTAATCTTATTCAGTCCTAGTTAAAGTCTTAGTATCCTACATTGACTCGACTTATTTAACAGAGCTTGGAGGCGGGAAAAAAAGTGTTTTTTTTTCCATTTAATTGTTTTTTTATTATTATTATTTTATCTGAAAAGCAATTAGAACCTCCAGACAGAAAACATTTCTAAGCATTGCGGATTAAACACAAAATGAAGCAAATAATAGATTTCCGTATTCCCTGTTGACTGGCTGTGCTGTTCTGCGTGATGGAGGGTGGGATGCAGCTGATAATGATATTAAAACCACTGTGGAAATCATCGGACTGTACGCTCCCCTATGGCTGGGCTGACGTGAAGATCCGTGTTAGACCTTCACACGCGGGGTGTGAAGCAGTGAATAGTAATAATTAGCGGGATCATGAGCTGAATTTATAGGTCACAAACCGCCTAACTGTGTGTGCATGAGTGTGAAAAAAAGGGAGATGGTGTGTGTGTGTGTGTGTGTGTGTGTGTGTGGGGGGTGGTGGTGGTGGTGGGATCTCAGAAGAACAAAAGAGTAACGCAAACAAAGCCAGGGGAAGAGTCCTCCACCAAGTACCTGGAATCCTCAGCCGAAGTGCGTTCTCTGTACCTTGATAATGAAATGACTGTAATTTCTTTGCAGTCCTAGAAAAAAAAATAAATGCATACATAAATAAGTAAAAAGCAGCAGCTCCAGCTAGTTGACCCGTGCGCGTCCGCTCGCAGACACACGCGGCGCTATCTTTCGAGATTGTCAATTTCTAATATGTCGCCGGACTTGATTAGGATTCCGAGCTCTCCGGAGTGCGCACCAGAGGTCTCCGGCTGTGGAAAAACATTTTTATAAAATAACCCATTAATGCAGAGGAGTGCAACTAAATTAGTTACCAATTTGCTGAGCATGAATTAATGAAGAGAGCTTCTCCCGGCTCCAACAGTTGTAATTTTCATAATAACCCCGGACCTTTATTTGGCAGGTTGTTTAGTTTTTTCGTTTGAAGGTTTTCATTAGTCTAATGAGGACTGTGCAAGGGCGAGCAGTCAGCACAATTTACATGAGGAAGCTATCATAATAAATGAGGCAATTTGAATAACATGCACAGGTTTATGCAGCGAGATAAGAGAGATTGTAGCTGCAAGATACAGAGGTAACCAATACATTAAGAACCAACTAATAACCAAAGTAATTCCAATAAAAGCTTTAAGTGAAGGGAATAAAATTAATGATAGAAATATTGAACTGTAATGATATGATACACGATGCATTAGATTAATAAAATAAATGTGCCGCATTGTTAAAAAAAAAAGGGGGGGGGGGGGGGGAAAAAAAAAAAAAGGCCTTGCCGTCCGCAGCTTTGTTTATGGTGAGCTTTTTTAATTAGGCTTGTTCATCGCATCGGTTTGTTTAGATAAATGAGATAACATTCCAGTGGTTTAATGATATCTCTCCACTTGTTTGATCTTTATGATCCTGGCAGAGCATTAAATTAATCTCTCGCAATGCACTCTCAGAAGAGAGTTCGGTGGGTGCGGAGGAAGGATGCGGAGCCTCGGCTCATATGGAGACTATTTAAATAGCCAGACACCTCCGAGACAGCCGCTATAATGTCTCATCGCTCATATCCTGTGACCGCGTCTCTTCTTTTTCACGTCATCTGTGCTGATGAAGGACAAAGGCTGTTTGTTTTTGAATCAAATAAATAAAAAAAAGACAGTTTCTAAACTTGTGTCACCCAATGTGGAGTAGCCAGATGGTGTCCTTTTTTTTTTTCCTTTTTCTTTGAACTTGGGTCCGATTTATTGTCCAAAATTTGCCTGAGACTGTGATATAGAGAGGTAAGATGATGTGTGAGAGGAAGGAAGAAAAAAAAAAAAAGTAAAGGCGAGCAGACTGCTAAATGTTGCCTCATATGTGACTAATTGAATTGCTTCAAAAAGCAAGTCTGCGGTGATAGCTTCCGACAAGCCTCTGTCTCGTGAAACAGCAGGTAGCTGACAAACAAGGGGAAAATTTGAAAGGTACGGAAGCCTTTTTGGCTGTAAACTCACTCTTTGGACATCAAACACTGGATATCGTTGGATTTCCTCTGGGAAAATGTGTTTCAGAACGCAAGCCATATGCACTGTATGTATGCTGGAGGAGTGCAGACGTTTCAGCCACTTTGTTGCATTCCTGTTTGCAGTCCTTAGTAACTGTGCGTGAACAAATCTTAAAATAAAGTAAGTTTCTTTGCAGTAGCGTAATATCACCCTGAAAATGTTTTGAGATGCATTCAGTTAGGAAGAAACAAATCAGACATTAAGTTGTAATTGTGGCACATTTTTAGACGACTCAGCTGCTGCAACATTTCACAAGGTGGGAGCAAACACTGAAAAAAATGTTTCTTTGAACCAACTTAAAAAAAAAATACTCAGATAACTTTATTAGTTTTGCACACGCCACAATTCTGATTTGAATAATTCTTAAATCAGATTCATAGCTTGAGCAAAACTAGCAGTAGCAAAGTAGCATAATTTTTTAAAGTTAGTTAAAAAAAAAACACTTTTTTTTTCCAGTGTACAGACAGAGTTATCGTGACGTATGTCTCTAGTACTCGTACACCCTCTTCTCTTCAGCTTACAGGTTTTCTATAGCTTTGAATGTACTGCTTGTAATAGCCTTGAATGTGTACAAATTAACCATTTGTCGAGATTAGTATTTTTTTTTTTTACTGATATCCTCCTGAAAGATCCAACAACCCCTGGTTTTCTTGAAGAAGTCACATGATGTAAAATTTACTGGTATTTAAAAAATTTTTAGAATAAGCAAAAGTTTAGCAAAGCATCACGTTTAATTTGTTATGGTAGGACTGAAACGGCTCCTAACCCGCTTCTCGTGGTTGTTATGGAGACTTGGAGACTCGTGGCACTCATTTTTACCTCTTTTACTGTAATCCTCACTCTGCATGGTGGCAAGATGAACTTAATCCTCATCCAGTCCAACTTTTTAATTGTTTATCCAGCTGCAGATACGGTCAACTTTAGGCAAATAGTTATTTTCTTGCGG